TCCTTCCTTCCTTCCTTCCTTCCTTCCTTCCTTCCTTCCTTCCTTCCTTCCCCTTTCCTTCCTTGCTTCCTCCCTTCCTCTCCTCCTTCCCTCCCTCCCTCCCTTCTCTCTCTCTCTCTCTCTCTCTCTCTCATTCCTTCCTTCCTTCCTTCCTTCCCCATTCCTTCCTTCCTTCTTTGCTTCCTCCCTCCCTCCTAAAACTCACTGCCTCCTGGTGATTGTCCCAAAGTCACCCAGTCCGCTTTTATGCCAAAGGGAGGTCTACAATTCATAGTTCCCCAGCCACTACCCCACACTGCCTTTTTCTCCCCAAACCCAGAACGGGCCTAAAGAAACAGGCCCCAGCTTGGCATTTGGGTGGTGACATTCCTAAGCCCGTTGGAGGCTCCTGTGCCTGGATATCCCCCTTAGTGGAGCTTGAGAAGCAGCTGTCGGCACCTGCATACAGAAAAGGCTCCCAGGGGGCAGAGCAGTATCGTGTGGCAAGGAGTTCCACAGCCAAATTGTCTCCTCTCCTCCTCAGCTGAGCAGCAAGCCCTGAGGCTGGCGGAGGCGATCCGCGACGGGGAAGAAGAGATCGCCCAGCGCTGCGCCCTCTGGCTGGCTGAGCGCCGTGTCCCCATCAGGGTGCAGCTGGAACCAGATGCCTATCCAGAGCACGACATCAGGTGATGCTCTAGAACAGCGGTTCTCAACCTGTGGGTCGGGACCCCATTTGGGGTCAATCAACCATTTCACGGGGGTCGCCAAGCAAGGCTGTCCGCCATTTTTTTTGTCCGCCATTTTTTCCCGTTTTCCGGCGGGTGCCTTATCTCCCTTGGGCTGGGCCAGCTGGTGGTCGGCCTGCTCTGTCTCTGCCGCTTGCCAGCTACGCCTCAGCCGGCGCAGGGGGCGAAACCACACATGCGCGGCGCTCGCGGGCAGGGAAAGTCCTCGACTTACGACCGGTTGGGTAGTCCTCGACTTACGACCGGTTTAGTCCTCGACTTACGACCGGTTTAGTCCTCGACTTACAACCGGTTGGGGTCGCGGCATTAAAAAGGTTGAGAACCACTGCTCTAGAACAGGGCTTTTCAACCTTTTCACCCATTGTACCACTTTTAGGATATGGCAGTATCCGAGTACCACCAGTCGCCTAGAAAGGTGTCAAAAACTTGACCAAAAAAAAAAAAAGGAAAAAGAGTGATAAAGTGCAGGTAGTCCTCGACTTACAACAGTTCGCTTAGTGACTGTTCGAAGTCACAATGGCACTGAAAAAAGTGCCCCCCAAGCCACAGCTGAGCAAGACACCTGCCTGTCCACCCAGCGGCGCTCTTCCTCCTGTCCGAGGTTTTCATTGATGTGAGCATTTCTGTTGGGGATTGCCAGTGGGGGTGGGGTGGGGGGTGTTTGGTTTTTATTCCCCCCGTCTGCTGGGTGGTTGCAGCAGGTTTGGGCCACTTCACCTGACCCTGGGACACTGTGACCGTCATAAATATGAATCAGTTGCCAAGCATCTGAATATAAATCACAAGACCCTGGAGAGGCTGCAACACTCCAGCTGATCGGCGCTTCTTCTGGGCTCAGCAGAAGCGCCAGGATGAGTGCCAAGCTCCAGCTGGAGCCTGGTGCTGATCCTGGCGCTTCCGCTGAGCCCTGACAGCCCTGCAGCTCCAGCCGTCTCTCGCTCAGGCTTGTGCGGTGCTGCCACCGGCTCAGCTCATTCCCCTCCCCCGCTACCACTTTTCTAGGATGGTCGCGTACCACCTGCCAGGTGCCAATGGACCACAGGTGGTGCCCGTACCACTGGTTGAAAAGCCCTGCTGTAGGACAAGGGGTAGGCAACCTTGGCTCTTTTATGGTTCGTGGACTTCAACTCCCAGAATTCCTGAGCCAGCCATGCTGAGGGGAAAGGGAGAGGCTTCCAAGCTGAGCCATGGTGGCTCAGGAATTCTGGGAGTTGAAGTCCATGAGTCATGAGGGGGCCATGGTTCCCCCATGCTGGCTCAGGAATTCTGGGAGTTGAAGTCCATGAGTCATAAAAGAGCCCAGGTTGCCTACTGCTGGTCTAGGAGGTGATGTGCGAGTCTCATCCGGCCTGATTCTCCTGGAGAATCCTGTAAACACTCCAACATTTGAGAAATGGGAAGGAAGGATTCTGTCTGTGACTTCTAAGCCCCTGTGGCACCCTCAGCATTGAGTTTCCCCTCACTTTGAGGCGAGAAACTGAAATGTTGCTATGTTACTGCCAGCCCTTCAAGGTAGACCAGGCCGAGGAACATGGTAAGGAGTGAGTCCAGGAAAGCTGCTTTATTCTATATAGGAAGTCCTCAACTTGCAACAGTTTGTTTACTGACCGTTTGATGTTACAGCGGCACTGGAAAAAGTGACCTATGACTGTTTTTCAGACTTACGACCATTGCAGCATTCCCCACGGTCACGTGGTCAAAATTCGGACGCTTGGCAACTGACTCGTAGTTATGACGGTTGCCATGTCCCAACATGTGACAGTCTGACTTTTGTGACAGTCTGACTAACAAAATCAGTGTGGAAGCCACATTCACTTAACAGTCAGGTTTACTAACTCAACAAATGTGGCGATTTGCTTAACAACTGTGTCAAGAAAGGTCGTAAAAGGGGGCAGAGTTCACTTAACAGTTGTCTCACTTAGCAACGGAGGTTTTGGGCTCGGTTGTGGTCATAAATTGAGGGCTATGTGTATATGGATGGGTCTGTCTCAGGGGTAGGCAACCTTGGCCCTTTTATGACTGGTGGACTTCAACTCCCAGAATTCCTGAGCCAACCATGCTGAGGGGAAAGGGAGAGGTTTCCAAGCTGAGCCATGCTGGCTCAGGAATTCTGGGAGTTGAAGTCCGCGAGTCATGAAGGGGCCATAGTTCCCCCATGCTGGCTCAGGAATTCTGGGAGTTGAAGTCCACGAGTCTTAAAGTTGCCAAGTTTGAAGACCCCTTGTTTAAATATTCAAATAGTTTTTCCTCACGGTCACGTGATCAAAATTCAGACATTTGGGCAGGGGTAAGCAACTTTGGCTCTTTTATGATTCGTGGACTTCAACTCCCAGAATTCCTGAGCCAGCCATGCTGAGGGGAAAGGGAGAGGTTTCCAAGCTGAACCAGGCTGGCTCAGGAATTCTGGGAGTTGAAGTCCACGAGTCATGAGGGGGCCATAGTTCCCCCATGCTGGCTCAGGAATTCTGGAAGTTGAAGTCCACAAGTCTTAAAGTTGCCAAGTTTGAAGACTCCTGTTGTTTAGAGAGTCGTTGAGGACACCTGGAAGTTTATCTGTGACCTCAGAGTCACCTGAGTGGTGCAAATGGGTGTGGAGCCTTCTTGGACCTGCTGAAAGGATTTTGTGGTAGACCGGAGATGATGATGATGATGATGATAATGATAGTAATAGTAATAGTAATAGTAATAATAATAATAATAATGTTGGAAGGGACCTTGGAGGTCATCTAGTCCAACCCCCTGCTCAGGCAGGAAACCTTATACCATTTCAGACAAATGGCTGACCAGTCTCTTCTTAAAAACTTCCAGTGTTGGAGCATTCACCGCTTCTGGAGGCAGGTTGTTCCACTGGTTAATTGTTCTAACTGTCAGGAAGTTTCTCCTTAGTTCCAGGTTGCTTCTCTACTTGATGAGTTTCCACCCATTGCTTCCTGTCCTGCCTTCAGACGCTTTGGAGAACAGCTTGACTCCCTCTTCTTTGGGGCAGCCCCTGAGATACTGGAACTCTGCTATCATGTCTCCCCTGGTCCTTCTCTTCATTAAACTAGACAGACCCAATTCCAGCAGCCGTTCCTTATATGTTTTAGCCTCCAGTCCCCTGATCATCTTCGTTGCTAGATAGATGATGTCGTATCCCACCCCCTCTGTTGAGGGAGGGCTGTTCAATTTTTAATATAATAATAATATTAATATTAATATTAATAATAATAATAATAATAATAATAATAATAATAATAATAGTATAATGATGATCATCATCATTTATTTTATTTTATTTATTTATATTTAAACTTCTATGCCGCCCTTCTCCCCAGAGGGACTCAGGGCGGCTCACAGCATGTTAAAAAACAACACAAAAAAACATTTCCCCTATAAAACCAATTAAAAAGCAAATATATTAATAGCTGTGTCATATTTAAAATCTTTGAAAATTTTTAAAGATTATTCCCTATTTAAAATCATCATTGAGTTGGAAGGGATCTTGGAGGTCATGTAGTCCAACCCCCTGCTCAGGCAGGAAACCCTATACATTTTGTCATTCTATTCGTTCTTTCGGGTCGACGAAGCACTTTTTCGTGGAAACCCTACCTCCATCTTGCAAGGCCTTGTGCTTACCTGAGTCTTCTTCTTGGAACTCTGCTTCTGGGGACTGGAACCGTACCTCTTCCGTCACTCAAAACCCCAGTCTGGACTGCTCCTTGGAAGAGTACCACGGAAAGGAAAGAAGGTCTGAGACCGTGGGCGTGGAAGACGCCCAGATGGTCACCCTCCCCATCTTTCTAAAGGTCCAGCCTTCCATGACGATGGCTTCTCTCAAAGACATGGTAGGAACCGCCGGGCAGATTTGGGGCAAAAGTTGGGTGCGCTTGGAGGACAAGGGACGCCGTCTAAGGAAGGGGTCTTCCTGGAATTCCGCACCCCATCCCTTTTCAGGAGAAGTCAGGGAGGGAAACGCCTCCGGCTTTCAAGACGCCAACGATGGGGAAGTAGAGGCAGACGTCTCGGAGTGTGTGTGTTTCCTACAGCTGCCTTTTGTCTCCTTGAGCAGATGCACCTCCATTACGGCTTCCCTCCCAGCATCCAGAAGTGGGTGATTGGACGGAGGCTGCCTCAGGACCACGAGACCCTCCACTACCAAGGCATCCAGCGGGATGGTGACCAGGCCTACCTCTACTTAATGTCCGCGAAGGCCAAGAAGCTGAACAAAGAAACGGTGAAGCTGGACCACGAACGCAGGCAGCTGGAAGGTGAGCGGGTCCCCGGTGGCGCCGGAAGTGGGGGTGGGTGGGTGGGTGGGCTGCAGGATGACTGGAAGGACCCAGCTACAGGTGGTCCTCCAAGAGGACCGTGGCTCGTGATGGTCGTAAAGTGGGCCGGTCACGCGATCGTCCCATTTTTAGGGTCTTCTTTCGCAGAGGTCAGTAAGGGAATCCCCTGCAGTTGTTAAGTGAATGCTGTAGTCACTAAGTGAACCGGTGGCTTGTTCTGGCCAGGGTTTTGCCCAAAAGTGGAAGCAAATATCGGTTTTCAGCAAAAATGTTGTAAAGTTTTGTCTTGTGACTATGGGATGCTGCGAATAGCCATCAATGCGGGCTGATTCTTCCTCCCTCCCTCTCTTTCTTTCTTTTCCCATTTCTTCCTTCCTTCCTTCCTTTCACCATCCATCCTCCTTCCTTCCTTCTTTCCTTTTACCATTCATCCTCCTTCCCTTCTTTTCTTCCACCCTTCCTTCCTTCCTTCCTTCCTCACTCCTTCCTTTCATCATCCATCCATCCATCCATCTTCTCTTTCTTTCTTTCTTTCTTTCTTTCTTTCTTTCTTTCTTTCTTTCTTTCTTTCTTTCTTTTTTTCTTTTTTTCTTTCTTTCTTTTTCTTTCTTTCTTTCTTTTTTCTTTCTTTCTTTTTCTTTCTTTTTTCTTTCTTTTTCTTTCTTTCCTTCCTTTCACCATTTATCCATCTTCCTTCCTTCCTTCCTGCCTGCTTGCCTCCCTCCCTCCCTCCCTCCCTCCCTCCCTTCCTTTCTTTCCTTCTTTCCTTCCTTTCACCATTCATCCATCTTCCTGCCTGCCTGCCTGCCTGCCTGCCTGCCTGCCTGCTTTCCTCCCTTCCTCCCTCCCTCCCTTCCTTCCTTCCTTCCTTTCCTGTTGATACAGGGAGTCCTCGACTTAACAACAGTTTGGTTAGTGACCATTCCAAGTTACAGTCGCACTGAAAAAAGTGACTTACGACCGTTTTTCACTCTTACGACCGTTGCACATCCCCAGGGTCACATGATCAAAATTCAGAGGCTCGGCCACTGGCTTGTATTTATGACGGTTGCACTGTGCCGGGGTAACGTGATCCCCTTTTGCAACCTTCTGACAAGCAGAAAGGTCCTAGAATGGGGCAAAATCCACTTAATTTCTCGCTTAGCGACAGGAATTTGGGGCTCAATTGGGGTCATAGGTACTCTTTCAAACTGTGAACTACCATTCCATTTTAAAGTTCTCAGCCCCTCCTGATGGCCTCCCTTTGCCCCCTTGTGACTTGTCATCAGAGTTGGGCATTAAAGAAGGGGTCCTGCTTTCTCGGGGAACTGGCGACTCGGCCTCCTTGGGCTCCTCGACGCCAACGGAGCCCTCCCTGACGCTGGACGTGTGCGAGGAGGGCAGCGGCCCTGGGCTGACCGTCCCGGTGGAGCCCCCAAAGGTAGGAGCCTTGCAAGAAAGTGGGGGGCACGGTCGAGATTAAGAAGCTGAGAGACGTGTAAAAAAACCAAATGTGGGTCACGGCTGTCCCAAAGGTGCTTTTCCAGGAGTCCACTGGAATTTAGGTAAGAAAAACCAAATGCACAGGTATAGTATAGGGGGTACCTTGCTCAATAGTAGTAACTGTGAGAGGGATCTCAGAGTCCTAGTGGACAATCACCTAAATAGGAGCCAGCCGTGTGCTGCAGCTGCCAAAAAGGCCAACACAGTGCTAGGCTGCATTAACAGAGGGAGAGAATCAAGATCAGGTGAAGTGTTAATACTACTTTACAAGGCCTTGGTAAGACCACACTTGGAATACTGCATCCAGTTTTGGTCACCACGATGTAAAAAAGGTGTTGAGACTCTGGAAAGAGTGCAGAGAAGAGCAACAAAGATGATTAGGGGACTGGAGGCTAAAACATATAAGGAAAGGCTGCTGGAATTGGGTATGTCTAGTCTAATGAAGAGAAGGATGAGGGGGGACATGATAGCAGCCTTCCAGTATCTCAGGGGCTGCCCCAAAGAAGAGGGAGTCAAGCTATTCTCCAAAGCCCCTGAAGGCAGGACGAGAAGCAACAGGTGGAAACTGATCAAGGAGAGAAGCAACTTAGAACTAAGGAGAAACTTCCTGACAGTGAGAACAATTAACCAGTGGAACTACCTGTCTCCAGAAGCGGTGAATGCTCCAACACTGGAAGTTTTAAGAAGAGACTGGACAGCCATTTGTCTGAAATGGTATAGGGTTTCCTGCCTGATCAGGGGGTTTATTTAATTTATTTATTTTATTTAATTGAATTTTTACCCCGCCCTTCTCCTTACGGACTCAGGGCGGCTGACAGCCTGATAAAAACAAATACAAAATACCCCAATTTAAAAACGTAATTAAAATGAGCTAGAGGATCTCCAAAGTCCCTTCCAACTGTTATTCAGTGGCTTCCCTCCAGAACATTTGGGTGCTCTATCAGTGGAGATTTTTAAGAAGAGACTGGACAGCCATTTGTCAGGAACGGCATAGGCTCTCCTGCTCAAGCAGGAGGTTAGACTAGAAGACCTCCAAGGTCCCTTCCAACTCTTGTTCCTCTTAAGAGGGGCTGCCCTGTTGTCTCCCCTCATTCCTTTGCTTTCCCACCCGCCCGGGTGGCTTTCTAGGTCGGCTGGGAGTGCCCGAGTTGTACGTTTATCAACAAACCGTCCCGTCCCGGCTGCGAAATGTGCTGCAGCGAACGACCCCTGAATTACGTCATCCCGGAAGGCTATCAGCTGGATGCAGAGGAGCGAGAATGGCTGCAAAGGGATTTGGAAGCCACACGCCAGTACGAGCAGGTGAGGGGTGGGGCTTGCCAGCCACACCTGGGTGGAGGGATTGATCTGAAGAGCCCTGG